ATTTTTAGAATAGTAAATTAAAATCTTGAAGATTTTAAGTCTGCCTGGATGGATCAGCATTGTCTCTATAACACGGAACTCCACGTTTCAGAAAGTCTGCCCCACAACCAGACACGAAAAGCCTTCAGTACATTCCATTCATTACTCACTCGTCCGCCAGTAATTCAATATTATTAAATATCATTGCACACGATTACATTTAAATACAATCTACAAATTAACCCTCCCCCTCTCTGGCGTATATAAGACTCTGTAATACTGAGTGTTTATGATAAAATTTAGCCGCAAAATAAATATTTAATGATGAAGGGACTAAAACAACGGCAAAATTGTTCATACGCAAAACAACGAAACAAAATTTTCCTTGACTGGATTTAAAAATCCCTTCCCATGCCCAACAAAATTAAATTCCAGATATGCCTGTGTTACACTGACACTTCAAAACCTCAGTAGTGAATACAGCATCTGTCAGATGATTTAGAGGTACGACAATAAGATTCGAAGACACAGTGTTTTGAATCATCTAAACATAATGTGTTAGGTCCCCCAACCGAGTAATTCCCCCTCGGGGGAGTATAGTTTTTTAAACTGGGAATGAACGGGTCTCTGTGAGGAATGACATATTTTTGTTGCAATAATCTTTTACTCTAGTGGCCTAATATTAGAGCAGCCAGTGAATCAGATAAGCGCTCCAACCCCACCACGTTACCACACACCTCTACCTCGTTTGATCAGAGAAGGGGGTGTACAGTTCCTCCCTCTTAAACCAGAAAACTCCACCGCAAGCACACGCAAAGCCGTCCTAAATTGAATTGCGCGGTCCAGAGGGTGGGAGATTGATAGCATGCGAGATGAGCGCTGTTTACTCAAGTTTCTAAAAGGGGATGGGGCAGACAGAAAGCTTCCCATTATTTTCTAAGTCTTTTGTCCATCATCTTTTCACTCCCTCCCACACCCCTCATGCTTTTTTGACCGCACGGAACAATGCAGCCCAAAAGCAATCATCCCCTTGCATACTTCATCCACAGACACTGTTGGATTACTGCATTCTGACTCCACCATGGACCCCGCCTAACAATGACGCTCGTATCTGATGTGAGGGTAAAAGAAAGAAGCCATCTATAGGCCACGTACTTATTAGAAATAAGGGTGGTTGTGGCCTGTGTGTGGGGGTTACTAGCTGCTTCTATAAAGGATCCGGCCCTTTGAATCCATTGGCCACTCTTAGATAACATGCACGCTGCATCACATTCGTCACTGTGTTTTCTTATCTCTGTGGATCCAAACATCAACCAAACTTACAATAAACTGTTTGTAAAGAGGAACTATTTTATTCTCCTTTTCTCGTCTTAAATAGAGACGAAAATGGTCGTCAACCTGAGTCTCTCTCAGTGACTCAGCGATTGTGGTTCGGAATGCCGGTAAAAGAGGAAAGTGCTGTTGAGAGGTAAAATATCTTTACGGAACGAGGTCACAGAGAGGTGCTAGTACGTATTTCTAAACATAACAGACTTGTACATCGCCGTTGGCATAATGCAATTTAGGAGTCTTGAAGCTTAAACGTTACAGACAACCACTTCTGGCCCTATATTTAAATTCCTACGACGAAACGTTCGCCTGTCCTAAAATCTAGCAGTATGGAAATGTTTAAGCTTTGTTATGGTCTCAATAGTTTTAACTAATGAATTATAACAGAATTAACTTTATAAAAGTGTATAAACCCGTTCAAGAACCACGTCCGAGAATAAATTCAACAAAAAGTGATAGTGGAACCACGGTTCCGGAGAATTAGACGTAAATACGTCTTTACGGAAAGGAAGTTTATATATTGGCTTTATTCTAAATATTTCCTTTATACATGCTTTACAATTGAGTAAGGTTTGATTAAAACTTTGCTTATTCAACTTGAATTAGTTACGCTTAGGATGGGTCTGTGGTAGCTGAATGTAAAGTAATGTAATGTAATGAAATGTTTTATAGGTAACAACAATGCCGAGTAAACAGATGACGTTTCCTAGGTAACCAGGTTACACTTTTTCGTAAAACTTTTTTGCCGAATGACCCTTCAATATAGACGTATTTACGTCAAAAGAATAAAATAGGTCTAGGTATTCATGTACGAAATGTTAAAAATTCAAACTTAGGTGCACCAGTAACGAGAAATTTCTATTTTGCTGTAAAAATAGAGGAAAGGGAACAAAGTGTTATATTGTAGGTAGTATTTTATTACTATATGAAAATTCTACTCGGGAGAGTCTACAGCATAGAAAAATTCTGACCTATGCTATCTGAAAATACATACATATAGTTGAGATTTACACAATTGTTTACGTATAAATAACGAATATTTACTTTAATAAGACTAAGAATCGAATAAGAGAACACACTCATCAGAGATGCTGTTGAAGTAGCAGCTGTCCAGTAGCCACGTTCTCCACCCAGGGCGTCTGGTAAAACTGAACTTAATCAGTGTTACTCCCCAGACAAACTGCAATTTGCATCATGACACTCGGTTGTGCTACATACCTCACAACTAGTATCAACGTATATGGGGTCCTTTATAACGCACGACCTCTGAGATCAGCCAAGAAAGTAATTCCACACACAAACCTACTTCTATAAATCAATTAAAAATATATATGTAAGCCACATATTTATGAAAAATAAATAAATATATCAATATGGGGCCTCAAGCATTCTCTAGTATCAGACCCATTTGTTGGTTTAGTTATCAGACATTTTCTATGTTACTAAATTCCATAGAAATAAACTTATTAGAATGTCGTCCAAGATCATTCAGATGAGGGTGTACAATCACAAACGTTTATCTTTTATACGCGGCGCTGGTCAATGTGTATTAATTCTTGCCACCAGGTTTCCTGAAAGACCCAGCTGTGTGCAAGACGCAGTGTAATTCGCTCAGATATTAAGTAATAAACAGGTGAGTTGCGATGTATGTTACTGTGGCAATGAATCAAAACATGATGTCAGAAGACGCGAGCAAACAACCTCAATTTCCCATAATTTCGCGTCATCAGATTCCTCGCCATTTATCGTGGAAATAAAAATAACAGTGCCTTATTACTGACACATATTCTTACAAGAATTACTGTAGAATTCAGGGTGGTAGGACTTCACCAAAGTTTCATAGGTTCTTTGGTAAACATCTACCAGACTACTGGGCGCTGTAACAACCCAGAAGGCAGACAACTTCGCGAGAACCTCAAATTCTACTGGCTGTATAGTCGGCGCAGTAGTTTTTGGCCGGTGGAATTTTCAAGGGTAAGGCTAGGAGCGAATCACTTATGCGATAGTATAATGCTGACTGCACCGAGGAGCTTATCGGACTGAACGCCCAAACAAAAGAAATGCACTCGCCGTGCAACCTCAGGTACACAGACTAGGCCCGTCCGCCAGCTTCCCTTCTTTGATGAACTCTGTCCAAGGCTTTTGCACATTTTATACGCAATAAGTTGGTGAAGGCAATAGGACCCAATTAGACCGTGTGTGCTTCATCACAAAGAGCTGATTTAAATATCTGCACCGAGAAGAGATCATGAGTGAATATAAACACGTAACCTGAAATTACAGAACACACAGGCCAAGCCGAATTATGAAGAAAGTGAGGGAAGGCGAATCATGGTTCTTCCAACAGGAAACAATTAATAGAAAAGAGACCACTCAGAAGACGTAGACTTGTGTAGAAGAACGCTAAACTTCAAAAGCCAGCAAGCAAAGTGCATTCTATAAAATTACCTGATATCTTTTAATTCTATATGCTGGATAACCTTATACCCTATCATAGCTTCTCGGATAGAAAATTATTTACTATGGTATAATTTAAATGACGAGGTATAGCTGAGTCACTGTGAGTAGCGTGACTGCGTAGTGATAGGCTATGGGCTGTACATCGTTCGACTGGCGATTCATTTCGATGACGTAAAATGGCAAGAGCTCGAAGTTGACAACTCTGTAAGGATTTTGACATTCATCGCGTGACACTCAGTCACAGAGACGACTTTACCCTTCTGTAGTCAAATTAAAACGAACTGGCCAACGCACACTCCCTTTCTAGATCGAAATCCGAAAAGGTTGCAGACCCTTAACTGGAGTGCTTTGGATAATAATTCCACGCATGTAGTCCTCCAAGCAGGCCTACATATTTACTGTTACTGCTAGGATTACAACGCCAGCGTTCTAACCGACCACATTAAAAGAGAATGATTATGCGATAAGTCCAAAATTAATATAATCTTAGTCAAAAGTAAAAGTAAGCTGTCCCACTATACGCGGTATAGCTCCTACTCATTCTTGACCTCGGCACTAGATGGATGTGAGTGGTCAGCTTTCCCCCCGGGAAAGGACCGCGGTACCCATCGGATAGGAGGCTGGGTGAGCCCCAGAACCGGTCTGGACGCAGAGGCTAGAGGAAAAATTCTCTGCCCCCGTCGGGGATCGAACACCGGTCGTCCAGTCCGTAGCTAGTCATTACACTGACTGAGCTACATTTCTCCTCCAATGACCTAACAAACCCTCCCTGCTTCCTAAAATGAAATTCGAGGATGTCATACATAATGCCTTTAAATGTAATTTAACTGCTGTATGTGATGTACATGTATTTTGTTGCTTCTAGAAAGATACATGTTAAGTGGATGACACAGAGCATGCAGGTACCCCGCCTGAAGAAACATATAAATATTAATAACATAAAACTTTATTAATATTTTAAACTGAATTAATTTTAATAGGCCTACATTTTACGTCTAATCTGTTAAACCGTGCAAAGTAGTTGCTTCCCCAAAGCAGGTTTATTACGTACCCATTTGGCAGCACTGGGTATATACGTGGACACACAGTCACTATACGTCTTCTGTTGAAACATTCAGACACTTCAGGACTGAAAATATCATATTACTAATAAACTGAGACTAAATTCATGTTCCCCTTATATAAATCTACATCATGCCGATTTATAAGATTAATTTTATAACTTGCCTCACCTGCAAGAGCTGTCCGCCATTCTCTGACAGTGGAAAGTCACGTAGCCACCCCTTCCACAATTGAGGTTACAGAATTGACTTGGTACTGCGTCTTTAGCTTTTTTCCCGACACAAAATAATTCACACACACAACACACAATATAATATCACACGATAACACAGATCTCTTACCAGTTTCACGCACATTTTCCGAATATAATAACTTTTAAGAACTTCTTATCAAGGCCACTTGCACACGCTTCCCTCTACGAAAGCATACTACCTGTCCTTCATTCGGCATAATTCGGGTGATGTTACGAAAATATTCCCGAACGCAAGACCCGTGGAGACACTGTACTCTCTCTACAGGGCATGTTCGAAAATATACAGTGATATGCACGTTATCTTTAAAGCTTCTTAGGAAGGAATGTCAGTACGTTTGACGTAATCACTTCTTAACCGATCAAAAAGCTGCAATGAAGGATGATGGGAATTGTCTCTTTCACTGTCTGGTAGAAAAAAACTTTAGTAAACAGATAGCCATCATATTTAATGGTTACAGTATTGCACATTATTACAAAGTTTGGGTAACAAAAACAAATGCTGTATGGATTAGGGATCTGCATGGGAAAACATTTTAGAATTTTACCCGACCTGATACGTGGACCATATGACCAGACGCAATCCGAGTGTCTTTTATCTTCAAATATGTCACCCGGACCCACCCAAGCCCCAATTCCTTTTATTCCACTCCGGCTAAAGCCCGATCTATTTACAATGTGCCCTGACTACCGCATCATTAACACATATTTCTTTCAACGCATAAATACCATTAATCCTTGAATAAATTAGATACTGAGGATCTAAAACATCTCATGTTATTTTATCGTTGGGAGACCTGTAAAAAATATCGCAAGTCGAGTTTGTAAGGTGTTATCTCCAACTATGTATATAACTGCCCGGATATTTCAATTATAATTAACCTAACTAACGTTCGGACACTCCACTCAGTGTACAAACCTTTATAAATTAAAAATACATGTAATATAAACTAATATCGGAAATAATAATATATCATGTAAGTAGGCCAGATAAAAGCAGGCCTACATATTATTTTTAATAACTAAACTTCGGAAACGTTACACAAGTGATATTACAGATTATCATCTGATCAAGCGACGTTATAATTTTTTTCCAATTTTCCAACGACGTTAAAACAATGGAACGTTAAGTTGTCACTACCATTACAGCAAATAGATTATAAGGTCATATTTCGACATTTAAAATACGAGAAGTGATGTAGTAAGACAAGTTATTATTACGATAATAATAATACAGGTTGATAATAAAGTAACACATAAGGATCATATTCCAGGCAAATTAGTTTGGATCAGCAGAAGATGTGTACGAACACTTATCGAATTTAGGCCTCATACATCTGATACCTTGACAGATTCCTTATGCTCATCACCATTCCGTCCAGGAGAATGTTGGGATAGTTCACTGAAATATTCTACGATTGCTTATTTGCACACCCTCTTTCTAAACACGTAAATTCCACATATCCACTCTTAATATTTACATTTCTAATATAACCTGTTGAATTATGGTGACGCCAGTCATTGTGGAAATAAAGAAACGTCTTCTTGCGAAATCGCATTAAAACATTGCGACACGTCTGCGTCATATTTACATTTGAACTTGGCACTGTATACATATGTTGTTCGGCAGTCCCATTCCAATGGAAGACAACCTATTGTTTGACAATGTCAGTTCTCTACCTCACGTTTTAAACAATACTGTCACTGCATTTTAGCTCCATTACGGGGAAAATATTTTTCATTCTCGTACGAATTCTGTCAGGCTACGAAAGCAAGTCTCCTGTATGAGATTTTAATCGGAGACCTCTAGAATACGAAGGAAGACCAAGAAAGATCTCCAGGTACAAAATGCTGTAACACGCTGCGATGTCATGATATTTGTGACGTATTTTCTCCGAATTCTGCCTTTATGTCGTCTCGATAATTTATCATTGTATTGACTTACACTGACATCCCTAACACACACAATACCAAAGATGCTATCAGACCCACTGTTGGTACAAACGTCAGGTGCCACAATCCTTCTTAAGAATCTTGGAAGTTTTTGTATTTTATGTAACCTACTTTCATTATCGTGTTCACAGCAACGCGCCAATGAACCCTTTCGTGTGCAAATTGGCCCCATCCTGAGTCAGTTTAATCCAGTCAACACACGCATAAACTTTTTTCTCTAAGATCCGTTTCGATGTTTTCCTTGATGTTGATAAGAAAACAACAGCAAATAAACAACGAAAGGAAAACATAATAATAAAGTTGCAGTAACTGAAATCAAAGTTATGGGGCGACCTACAGTTTAATACATAAATGATTATTTATATTGAAACAAATAATCAGCTGAGGCAGAACCAGTTGCTTGTTCATTCAGTTGTTTGTCAGCTTTTGTGTCTACTGGGATTGTGTAGGACGATGAATCAAAGGAGTTAAGGATCCTGGCCGTGGCCTATTTTAAGGTAATATCTCTACTTTTCCATGAAAAGACTAACAAAAACAACGAGAGACTTCAAAGAACAACTGATTTAGGGAGGGGAAAATTAACTAGCGCCAAACAAACGTTTAGTAATTGAGAACTAAAAATGCTGGCAGAAACAGAATATAGAAATAAACTGAGAAACGGTAATACAAAGTTAAGAATACATTTTGATAATAGCATTAGGCGTCTTTGATTACTACACTAGGATAAAATGTGTACAGCATTTCGTATTGTTACATAAATGCTTACTAGAGTGTTTTAATACAACCGACAGTTTTGTAACACGCAACCAAACGTTACAAGTTATTCAAAAATTGTAAGTCTACTTTGAAGAATTCCGTTTTCGGCTAACCCTGTATTCGTGGCCGTAACGTGGAAGAGGCTCTTTATTAGCGACCCACTTAGCACCCTCATGATGTTTTGGCCGCACTTCCAAGCACTTTTCTCTTCTTATCCTTCTTATCTCGTCGGATGTTCCTTTGCTGCAGTTCACAACAGCCGTTTCGTGTGCTTCTACTCTTCTGAACCAGATACTAGTCCTTAGCAGCAAAACACGTTCATTTTAATCTTTGTGTCAAAACAGAACTTATCCATTCTATTTCACAATAAAGTTTTTCTGTCCATCTGTGTGTAGATCGTAACAGGAATAAAAAAAATAGCCTCTTGGAAAACGCTGCAAATATTCAACAAGCAGGACTACAAAAATTTTTAGAAACAGCAATGTGAACCAAGATAATATCCCTAAGAACTGTTTCCTGCAAAACGATATTAAAATCACATTTTATTCAGATAAAATTGACGGAATTGGCAAAATTATTTTTTTCTGGAACACCGAAAAAGTGTTTTGCTCGACAAATCTCGCTTGCTGTCTCACAAAAATGCGAGTTCTGCTGTTCTACGTACTTACAACTTCCAGCTCTCCTTATAAAACCTTCCAATATTATTCTGACATCTTATTCTATTTTTATATATTGAAACACCAGCCATAATTGAACGCAGTTCCGCATAAAGAAGAAAAAGATAAACTTATCTTAATAATACGAAAAGAGAAACAGTTAACATACGGATTTTTCATGAAATTTTGAAATTTTTCCTCCTTCTTCCTTTCTCCAGCAGACAACCAAATTATATTGCACATATTTTGTCGACGGGCAGAATTTCTGAGTGTTTTATACGAGTTTTCCGCCTAAGCTTAATTCCAAGAAACACAGCTAATTCTTTAACACAACCTGACGTATTGATATCCCTTTGTAAGGCGCTAAATTAAGTGTGGCAACTGAATTGAATAATTGCAATCTTCTACTGGACAACAACTGAAGTGTTAGCATGGGTTGTTTCACGGCGAAACAACCCGGAAGGCGGCCATCATCAAACTCGCCGCCGTGAGAACCTCTGTATAACGTGCATTAGCAGCTTGAAGTCCCAAATAAAACTGTTATTAACGTCCTGAAATAAAACTTGTTTATGAATGACTCGCAAGATGCTCTTAAGATGACGGAGTCGGGCTAAGTGGTCTGATCCGCTCTGGTGCCCGCCCTCCTGTAAGGCAGCCATCTGCAGGTCTCGTGTGTGTCTAGGAGGTGATAACGAGGGAGCCACGTGTTGTAACAGACACGGGATCAGAGCAGCCAGCCGCGAAGAATAAAAAAAAATCAGTGTCTAAAGCGCAACCCGAATTCAATGGAAACCTGCCTTTATCGAGAAAATAATCTGATCACGTATTCATATACAGCGAGGAAACTAATACAGAATTACTTCAGATAAACGGAAGGTCTTTAAAGCGAACGCGGAAAGAGGAAGAAGGAATTCTGAATGGGAAATGCACACGAAAAATATTCACCTGCGCGGGCCTTACAATAGGTAAATATTTGTCGGATGCACATAGACACTATGTAAGCCCATCTTTAGTGTAGTCCTACACGTCCTGTGCATTTACCCGATCCAATTCATACGTGAAAATGGCTTGCTAGGTAGGCTAACTGCACTACACAGTTATTCAACTGTTACTTTCTTTCGTACCTTTCTCCCTACTTTCCTGCTCTGCCTAATTGTATTTCCTTCTTGTCATTTCGCGTTTCTTTGTGTTAGTTTGGGATTCCGACTGTAATTTTTGAAGCCCACTAACAGAAACGTGTGATAGCACTGTTTTAGACAGATTAGCAGATTTGAACACCCACGTTGTTGATCAGTCTCGAAATAGTTCGGTTGCTTCACATGAGAAACAGTTTTCCAAATATTGGCCTCATCCTCACCTACGTTCAAGTACAGATATGCCGCAGACAACAGACAATTATTTTCAACTCCTGGGCTTAACAACGCAAACCATTCTGCGTGTCTTTTCAAGGCACAGAAAATGTTATCTGATCTTCCTCACAAAGGCCTACATATTGCTCGGAAGCTGTTCAGACCGAAGATATTGCAAGGGAAGCTTTTAAGAACGGAGTTTCCGCCTGCTATAAGCTTCGTTGTGGTTTCAACGTAATAACTTGATTCACTGGCATAATACATTTTAATTTCACGGGTCTTATCTTGTCTACAAGAAGAAGCGAATTCTAAAACGTGAGATCTTGTTTTAGTTTGGGTTCATGTTGTTAGCCCACAGGTTATTAAGGCTTTTGCTGATGGCATTAACACAGAACTTTGTAATTAACACCCAAAAGCAGCGAAATAGTACTGAATGGGATTATCGTCACAAGGGAAATGTTAGGTACAAGACAGGGACTATATGTAAGATCTAGGTGAAGAAAGTTGTAAATGTTATTGCATCCACATATTCCAACTTGGGATATGGAAACATCAAACGTTAAACGTTTAATTTGGTTTTCAGCCGCTGACTGTACGTCACTGGAAATAAATTGCACCAGGGTCGATCTGTGGACCTCTCGAATGACGAGACCATCACGCTCGCGTAAGTGACTGAATTGTCTAACTTTGTATTTCATTACATCCTGACCAAGAAACGGACAAAATGAAAAGACATTTCGTTAATCGAGTATCAACTGCGAGTCACGAAATTTATCATTGTTCAAACTTCACTGGGCATAGTCCTTTACTCGCACTAACATCCGATAAAGTGTGATAAAATGAAATGACATGGTCGTGAAAAAATTAGAGAAAAGGCAACTCTTCTTTCGAAACTCTTGTTTTTATGATCATTTTTCGAAACAGCATTTTAAGTAAACTTAAAGTGTAACTTCAGTTTCTTGAATAATTTATTCCACAAACTTACGGACTTTTTTAGGAAGCAGTAATTTCCCGTTATACGAAGATCGAAGTCACATCACGTTACTAAACTGATGACATAAAACGAACCAACAAGAGAAACCAGAAGACCAGCATTGCTAAAATGAAGATCCACCATTGGGTTACCGAGGTACATGACGTCAGAACCAGCTCCTCTGTCTTTTATAAGTAATCTATATTATGCAGTAGCATTAATCTAGATATAAATTTGTGTACAGTCGTTACTCATTTAGGTTTCAGATAAATTAAACTGTCACATATATTTTCAAAGTGTGAAACATATTTCAAATTTTCTTTAGGCTGAATTTTAAAATTGTTATCTGTTAACTGATGCCTACAACTCAATGGTGATCCTAATTTTAACACACTCGAAGAAAAACGAAAAATTGCTACAATATTTTAATAATTCTTTTATCATCATTTTCTACAGTAGCAATATTATAATGGTCTCCAGAACGTGAGTGGGTGTTTCATTTCTACAGTCTACGTAACTTACAAATTTAAAGAAGATACGATTTAAAGACGTTAATAACGACACGTTTATAAAATAATAATCCTTCCAATTTTAGGTCCCATGCGCCTTGTCACGCTGTATTAATTATTCATCTATAAAATCTGTCACTAACGTGGGTCTCATATTGGATTTTTGTCTTCTGATTTATGACGACTTGTAGTCTTGTAGGTGGCTATCAATGTTTCACAGAAACGTAGCCCCTCCATCTTCAGGGCAGAAACTACTACAAAGACGTCATAAATGTGTTTCAGATGGAGTTGTCCAATTAGGAATGGGTCAACGCATCTTCATGAATCAATGGTGACGTATTTAAATCCCACACGCCATTATTTGTTCTCCTATTTAAATGTCTCGGTCCAGTAAGAGGTGGTCTGATGTTTATGGACTTTAGTCTCAACAACTGGCTTAATTTTTTTGTACGCTATAAATGTTTGATAACATTTTTTTGTTTATAGTCTATGCTAAACGTATGTTTTAACAACTGTCTCCAATGAGCGGGGGCCTTCCTGAAAAGCTGATAATCGTTGAGCTATTCAAGTCTTTCACGAAACCTGAAGGTTTATGACAGCGTCCACACAAGTCCATCAGCACTCTCCATATCCTCTCGTTCTTCAACAAAACTGCGAATACATCCTCTTCATTAGGAACTAGTTTTACCCGTGACTAACGTAACTGATCCCAACAAATATTAAAGTTACAACAATTATTATTCCTGTTATCGGATTTGCCATGAGTACTCCTACTGAAGTACTCTTTATAGGCGTACATGTTTATGTGTAAGCTTTTTTTTTGTCTACAATTATTTCCTATAATCATCAAATTTTTCTGCTGTTCTAAGACGACAGCGACTGAACCATGTCGATGTTTTGCTGATGATGTCACGGTTCTATTCAGACTCTTTCGCGCTGTGAGATATAATTGAGTCGTCTCTCGCCCGCAAGAAAAGCTTGCTACGTGGTAAACCATTAATTTACCACTCTTCTTTCAGAGAAGGAAAGCGAGCAAAATTACGCAGTCAAACTTGAAACGTTACACGGTAAAACGGACTACGTTACAATTTGACCTTTAGCGTTTGCGCCTAGTGAGGTTCAGGACATATACTGTAAGTTAAGAACCAGAAGAAATTCATTTAAGAAAACAATAATTTCGCAGATATTTTACGTGAGTTATATCGTAAACAACACATGAAGATAAGTGTCTTCTGATATGTTACACCGTGTAGTCTGTCATTTTAACACTCATATGACGGAGGCAAAAGTACCTTTGGAACGTCGGTAAACTTCTACCAGACTACACAGTGCAACAACCCAGAACACAAATATCTTCAAATATATTGATCTCTTGATATAGTCATTGATCTTTCAGCCACTACTTTTGTTTTCTTGATTTCTGGTTAGAAGTTCGAAAAATGAATCCGCCTTCTAAATTCAAGATTCGTCCCCACGCAGAGGCTTCAAGCAACTGCTATGGTCCTTTGGTATCGTCGTCAATACAAATTTAACTCTGCCTCAAAGCATGCATACATACTATGCTGTTATTTACGGTTAATCTTAAACTTGACCAAAATTAAAACAATTTCCTTGGGGGAGGGGGCTTTAAAATATCTCGTTCCACTATTTCCCCAATTCAGAATTGTACTAATTCTTACCGAAATTAGGCATATAGTTAAGAAATTCGAAATTGTAATGGCACATAGACACCTAGGAGCATGCTTTCATATGGAATGTTATTAAATCAGCCAATCATTATAATTATTGGGGAGATAATACACACACAAAGCTCGCAGTTGGCAAAAACGATGCTGTCCACTCGGATTGTAATAAAAGCAACCAGACGAATAAGTAAACTAGACATAATATTATAAAGAAATTATGATTTGTGCCAAAATAAAACAACTTTGAACAAATGGCTTGTGTACTTTTCTGTAATTTGTTGTTCATGCAAACCAAATTCAATCCAGTTTTCGAAAATAAACTTTTAAATCCGTACAGCCAGTAAACTCTGTCATTCCAAGGCATACAACATTCGAACATCGAGAAGTTGATTACAACATAATGCTAACACTACTTCCGCATGTATTCCACTGTTGCCCTGAGGACAGGCGTGTGTTGTTTGGGCTCAGTGTGAAGAAAGGAGTTACACCGTATCAATTGATGCTCCATTACAGCGGACGCAACTTGGTTCAAACTTAAGAGCACATACCTCTTCAACTACAGTAATAAGTGAAATTGAAGGAAACCGCCAACTTTACCGTCGTCTATCTGCCGTGGTAATAAAACGATCTACCACAAAATTGCCGGAAGATGAGAAGCGCCCGTGGACGACTTAACCACGAATTTATCACTCAGCTGTCACTGAATCAGTAGAAGCCTCAACAACCCGTGAAAGTGCAGGAGCATGGACGTTCCGGAAACAGTTTAAACTTCTTCTTTTCATTCTTCGTTCTCTGTTACTGTCTTCGTCGGTCTTCTTCTTTTTATATTCAACTACCCTATGTGTTGACTTCTCCTTCATTTAACGTGTTAAACATTCGGTGGGGCACTTACTGCCTAAGACGGTAAAAAAAAATCAGACGCCCTAGATGCAAAGTTAAGAAAGTTATTCCCTTATAAAACAAAATTAAACATTGTTCATATATCCACAAGGGCAACAATATATGATTTTATCATCGTAATAATATTTGGTACAGGTATTAAATTATAAAACTTCTCACTATGCAGTTTTCTCCTGTCGCTCCATCACTCTTAACACCCTGTATTCAAACATTTTCAATCTGTGGTTTTCCCTCAACGCGAGTGAACAAATTTCACACCTTTACTAAACAACTGTTGTGCCTACAGGTTTAGTTAAAGTTCAGTTGACATGGATAGACGACAGTTACAATTTAGACTAGCATGCAGAATTAAAATACAGATAAGTGAATTTATTAATAAGAAAAAACTGTATCAAAACTGAGAAGAATATTGTTTTCTTTAAAGTTCCTAGATTTCACATTGAAAATTCTTGTTCATAGATTTGTTTGCTTTTTTCCCCACTGTGCAGAACATATCTTCCCTAAATATCTAAACAACGTGGAGCTGAATAATTTCCAACACATTGTTTCCAAAGCTACTGTACTACAGTCGTTAAACAAAGAAACAGCTAAACGGCGTCTTTTACAGAGAAACAACAATTTTACAACTGCACGTTTCCAGAGTCTGCAAAATATCTTACAAAGCGTGAAATTTGTTTTAAGTACTTAAACGGAGTAAAATAATACAAGAAACGCAACAAGCCCTTAACATGGTCTTAAACCAGTTAACTATTCATGCGGTGAAGCATCGTGCCGGAGCAGAACCGGGCAGTCGGTCGACAAAATGGGAGAGGAAATTGCCGAGGTGAACGGCCTCACTTGGATCAAATATGGTTTAGTGTACTACAGCTGTACCTGCGTGGATTTAGTTCAATAATCGGAACACTTTCTTATAATATTTATTGGCGTCTCAAGTACCATTTTCCGGTTACAGTTTCAAGCGGTTATGTGGTTCACTGGGGATGCAATGACACACTGTTGTTAACAAGGTGACGAACTTTCTGGCTGCATAAAAAGCAATGAATTTGAACACAGCTGATCAACAGTTTGTTCTCCAGAAGGATTACATTCCCTGGATTTGATTAAACCTAACATACAATGAATTGTGGGAGAATCCTCCTAGTACCCAACTTGCACTTTGTAAATAATCACTTGCGCTGTTAAATTGTTCAATATCGTATTCAGATGTTACCTTCAAAACGGGTATAATTTATGACAACCATTTAAATGGGTTTTTTTTGCTGTTTGTAGGTTGAAAAATGTGTGAAGCAAATCAGAAAGTGTCGCATCGTTGTGGTTCAGTTCTCTCTACGTGCAGTCGTGAGACAAGTGTCCTCGGCAAATCAGGCTCGGATTGTCAGACACAGTCCGACCGGTAGACACCATTCCTCAGCCCGCAGAGGCCCTTTTCTGCTCATCTTCCTGCAAGACAGTAAAGTGTTCGGAGATCAAAGACGTCCTCAGCCAAATCTCTAGGCACACTCTGAAGATTTCGGGGGTAACAGAAGCCTCTCCTTCATCCAAATTCGATAAGTCAGCTTGGGATTTAAGACCGACAAAGTCTCGTTGTGACTTGAGGTTCTCACGACGGTAAAAATGTCCACAGTATTCGTGTGTATTGTGGTGTCTTGTGGCCTTGCAGGTCGTTGCCAACGTGTAGCCTACCTTTCAATCAACCCTGAAGACTTGAACGCGGGGTATCCACAGCCTCCACTGGAATGACGAAAGCCCTGACAGAGGTTTCGTGTGGTCTTACTCAATGCTTCCATCTGAATGTCAAAGTCTAAAAAAATACGGAATGAAGCGGTCGTAGAGTATTTTAAGCATTTCAGACAGAACAGATGGACTCTGGTCTGAGCTACGACAATCGGGTAGCATCAATGTGAAACGGAAGTACCGGTACCCAAATGCCGTTGCGTTCTTAACGATGGCAACAGTCTGAGCCCCGGAAGGACCAGTGTCCTTTTTCTACGTTTTTGCAAATAAAATACGAACTGTGGGAAATTTGTTTCATTGCGTGTGTGTGATTTACTTAGTAACGCTGTCAGCGCTGGCTTAGACCATATACTCTCGAATAAGATTATAAGTGAATAATGACTTGAAAACGACTTGAAAGAAGCGATAGTGACTTAATTTTAAGCTATTTTCCCGGGATGTTCAAGAACCGAGAAAAACCAGAAACCAGCAACCGGGATGACTAGTTTCCAAGGAAAGTGTCAAACACACGGCTGCAACGTTCGGTGAAGTATGACACATGAGTGTGTTTTAAGAATCCGAAGGATACACATTGCATTTAGCCATGCATTCACGATTTTTTAAAGTGAGAAAGCACGGATTTCTTTCTTACATGCATGGACTCAGAACGTCTTTGGTGTCCATGCAGTCTACACATATCCTCTGAATGACGGTGCTAATGGCCAACATGGGTAGTTCAAGAGTTCATCGGCCTTGTATTCATCCAAGTCATTCTCACTTTTATACAACGCCTGCCCGTT